TTAATGCCTGAAATATGGTAACATTAAAATACTAGCAGGGACAAGTTATCGATAACTATATTAGGGTTGTGTATCTTTAAGAGGCAGTTGTTTCGAAATATATATTTTAAATTAGTATAATACATTATTAAAATTATAAAATATTGCTAAAGCTATAATATTTTCTCACCGTGTTCAGTTTTGACACCTTCATAGGCTGACAGCTTTCGAAAGAATGCATCCCAAACCTGGTCGAGATTTGCACATCACTCGAAATGCCTCCCACAGAATTTTCACACACAGAAAAGAGCTAGAATTACAGCTGCTCTTCCTCTGCTCTCGCCCTGATTTTCCTGACTTTGTCCAGAATTGAAGCATCACATAATCAGAGGTAAGAGGAACTGAGGGAAAATGCAAGGCGAGCGCACGGCACCCTGGACGATGATGATGATGATGAGGGGTTTGGCCTGGTCATGCAAGCCACATTTTCGCATTCACACCGCTCACTCCGTTTGGTCGCTTTGCTTTTCCAGCAAGTCAGACAAATTATGACCACGATTTTCTTCTTCGGGGAAATATAGTAGGAGCCAAGCTCCTGTGCCTGCCTTCCTTGCCTGCCGGCCATGCGATAAGCATTTGCGTGATTAATGAAATTCGATGCCCAGTGGTTCCCTCCTCCTCGAGTCCGAGGAGGGAGTGGAAAAAAGAGTTGCGAAAGGCAAACCGGACCGAACCTTTCCATAAATAAACAATTAGGCCTTGTGCCACCCGCAATTCCACTTCGCAATCCTGACTTACTGGCTCACAATGGGCGGGCTTTTCCGCTTTCCCGCATTTCCTCGCCCAATTAGAACTCGTGAGCGGGCACGCTTTGCCCATTTGAATTTATATTGAAATTTAATTTAATTAATAGAGCAACTGGCGAGGGAGTCGCTGTCGAAGTCTTTTGCAGTCTCACCCACCAGGTGTTGTATCCATTTCCCATTTTCCTTTTGGCCGCCTATCGCAGCGGGAAGTGTCAAACAGTCAACTCAATAACTGTTTATTTAAGTCGCTTTGGCACATTTCCAATTTCGGCGAATGCATGCAATGTGTGTGTTGTTGAGTCAGTTTTTTAGCCAACTTGCTCTATATTGTCGTATATTGTGGCTTTGCAGATTGGCAAATGTAGATTTTTGCATTTTCTATCTCTATTGGCGGTTTTGCATTTCATTAGCCTGATCACCGGGCCTTGGCTTTACTCTGCATATTTATTGGTCTATAAAATAGGGTCTTAGGTCTTGGGGATTATTGATTTAAATGGGATTTTATTTGGGTTTTTTGAGTGATATTTTATGTGTCGTTAAGGATTAGAGATCATTTTTATGCCATCTTTAATGCTTAATATCATATTAATTATATATTTGTAGAAATTCTTTAAAAAATCATGGGTTTTCCCTGAGTAAAGTTGATTGAGGGGATTATGTTTCCTATTTATAATATCGATATAAAGCCTTGTTTACATTATTTTATTTTTATACCCTTGCAGGGTATTATAATTTCAGTCAGAAGTTTGCAACGCAGTGAAGGAGGCACCTCCGACTATATAAAGTATATATATTCTTGATCAGGATCAACAGCCGAGTCGATCTAGCCATGTCCGTCTGTCCGTCTGTCCTTCTGTCCGTCTGTCCGTTTCTACGCAAACTAGTCTCTCAGTTTTGAAGCTATCTGAATGAAACTTTGTAGTTAGCCTTCTATATACTCTCACTCGTATATATGTCGGAACGGGCCGGATCGGACGACTATATCATATAGCTGCCATAGGAATGATCGGAAAATTTTTACAAACAAATTTTTAACTTTTTCAGTTTTCAATAGAATTGGATCAAATTTGAGATATAGCCATTTTACTATACTCTACAATTTTGCATAAAATTTTATGAAAATCGGACTACTATATCATATAGCTCCCATAGGAACGATCGAGAAATTAATACAATTAAATTTATAACCTTTTCAGTTTTCAACTGATTTTCATCAAATGTTAGGTATTGGCATTTTATATTAGTCTTAAATTTCGTGTCAAATTTCATGAAAATCGGACGGCTATATCATATAGGTGCCATACAAACGATCGTTTGATGTAGAGGAAAAATGAAAATCTGCGAATGTAAAACTGCAAATATAATATGTATAGGTGAATACAATGAAAGCAGGTATTACTTCATTGTTTTTTAACACAAATATATATCATTTATATTGTATGGTTTTTTATTCATAGAAGTTCTATCTGCAAGGGTATATAAACTTCGGCGTGCCGAAGTTAGCTTCCTTTCTTGTTGTATATGATTTATAATTTATTACTGTTTAAAGAACATTTATTTTCTACTCGAGTTTAATGACTTAATTTCTGATCTTCTTTGAAATTTAAATAATGTTGGCCATGTTTCTTTTTAAACTTCTGACTTAACAAAGACAGGAGATATGCCCCTTCACTTTTCGCCACAAATCTTACATGGGAGTTACCTCTCGAGGAACATTTATAGCGATCCTCTGCCCACCTGATGTCGAAGTGATCGATATCCCTGGACATCCATTTGGCATCCATAACGAGGCAAACTCCCAGCTACTACTACGCCTCCGCAGCGGCAAATCCCCCAGTACCATTTTCCGTTTTTCCATCCGCCCATTTGCTACCGTTTAGCCAGATTGATTTCGGGCCAGAAGCCAGCACCGCTCCGTTTCGATCTCACCTGGGAGGAAGGGAGGAGAGCTTGGTTTCCCTGGGTGCAGTGCGTCACGCCCACCGGTGCAGTTTTTCCCATCGCTACAGCGGCCCATCAATCAATTTCAAGTGGGAGGTGGGGGTGGCAGGAGGTGGGGAAGGTGGAGAAGGCCTTTACCTGCCTCCGAATATCCGAATCCGGGAGTTGCACTTGAATTGGTAGAGGATGCGAGGTTTAGGCCTGCGAGCGCTTTTGGTTGTAAAAATTGTTTCGGCATCATTTTTCATATCCGCAACCGATACAAACCCAAAAAAAAAGCATAAAAAAATTAAAAGAATAAAAACAAAAACGTATAAAAAAAAGGTAAAGCCAGAAAACAATATTCAGGGAAATCGAGTAGCATCCTAGCAGCAGGAGCTTCATGGAGAGATGGAAAGAAAAAGGATTTAAATAGCAAAGCAGGAAATACCCTTACATTTTAGTATGAAAATTATAAAAATAAAAATAATAATATGTAAATATTTTCAGGATTATAGAAAAGAGTCATTTTGCATAATGTAGACCCAATAGTTGCTCTTTTTAGAAAGTAATAGAAATTATAAAAATATATTATCCCTTAAAATATTAAAACACAACTTTAAATATTTATATACAAAATTAATGAAAATGGTTACCAACTCCCAATGCATTAAAAACTTAAACCGTTTCAATTAGTTGTTTATAATCATTAGCAATAAAATAATCAACTATCCATAAGAACAAAATTTTATTTAAGCAATTTTATGCATTTCCTATAGATATCATACATAGAATTCATTCATTCTTTGAATCAAAATTTATCTATTAATTTATGTCAATTTTTTTATCAAATCAAAGTTTAAAAAACTCATAACTAAGCCAAAAATCATAGATTTTTACTTGGAAAGCTGTCCCTTGTTAGTTTTTATTAGATTATTAAATCTGCATACTCAATTAAAATACTAAAAAAATTAGATTTTGTTTTCGAATTTTGGGGATTTTAACGCCTTATAAAATTTAAACAAAAATTATAATTTTTTTTCTGTCTGTGATGGCTAGTTTGATTCGTCTGTTGATGCTGATCATAAATATATATGATTTATAGGGTCGGAAATGACTCCTTCACTCTTAATTAAACAACTATGGAATAATTACAAAAAGTAACTTATAAAAATGCTCAAATGTAGGTAATTTCAATAATTTCTCTTTAAGCTTTTAATGCTACATAACAAATAATTGTTGTTTTAATTATACTATCCCCTGATAGAGTATAAAGCTTGGCTCAGGGTTAAGTTCCTGGATATACATGATCGCTGCATTTCTTTGGTCTTTCTGCGGCGCTTTGTTTGTGCTGCTATCGACACTCCTCCAATTCAGCCCCACTTCCCCCAGCTCCTCCTCCTCTTCTTGGCCACCTTCGGGCCTGGTTTTCTGACAGAGAGAAGGTTTCGCTGTTGCGCGAATTTGTTGCAATTTCTCATTGTCAGCGAACGCGTTCGCCGGTAAATTTTGATTAAACGCTCACCGGGAATTCACTTTGCCTTGCACTTTTTTTTTGTCTGTTTGTTTTTATTTCCCCCCCCCCCCTCCAGCGGATAGGTGGCATCCCCAGCTTTCCCCACCCAGACAAATCCCAGTTGGTGGCCACCAACTCTTTCATTTGAATTTGATAAATGGAGCTCGTTGCAAAGCGATATGTTATGCAATTTAGGGATTTCTTTTATTTTTTGGGTAAAAACAGAAAAAAATAAATTAAAGCGATAGTAAAATGTTTGTTTGGGAAGAAGAGAAAGAACTGATGAGCATTTAATCAGGCTTCTGGGTTATGGGAAAGGTCTCTAGAGATTCGTGAGAAATGTTGGGTAAAGTCATCTCAAAAGAGTAAGTTACTCACTGAGTTATTAAATTATCTCGAGCGTGTGTCGTTAAGATTAAATCGTTTCCAGTTAAGGACAAGTTAACCCGTATTAAAAAAAACCTGCCTTAAAATTAAGGCCTTGGTAGGGAAGAAATACAAATTGCTGGAGTAAATTGATGCTTGTCTGCCCGGAACAAGTGGCAATAATAATTTCGTGCCAATTAATCAGCGTAAAATCAGAGCGTCAACAATTTAACTCCTCCTTGTTATTAATTTCGAGCTTTTTTTCAATAAACCGCCAAAAGGGAAACCAATAATTGCCATTCGCACTTTACGTAAACAAATTTCAAGGAGAGAAAAAACAAGAAACTCTGGCAGCTTTATGGCTGAAGCGAAGCCAACTTCACGTTTTGTACAAAACTGGTCACACTCTCTTTTTCTGCTCATTTCCGGTGCCTCAAGACGTGTGCTCTTCGATTTCATTGAAAAAAGTAAAGAAATTCTTTAAGCTTGTTATATTTTTGTGCTAGAATTTGTATTTTTCTCTCAGAAAATGAAGCCGCAGACAACCAAAGCTGCAAACGCGCCCAAGGGCAAAGCCAAAGCCGCCGAAAAGCCAAAAACTGGCAAAGGTAAAGCTGCCACTACGGCAGCCACCAACGCTGGAGCTTCGGGTGGAAATCACGTGTTACGGCTGATCCGCCACCGATGAACTCCAAGAAGGTGGCCAAAGCACCGGCTGTGGCCTTGAAGAGCCTCGAGAAGAAGGTGGACGAGACCGAAGATGTGACCAAGAAGACAGCAGGCAAAGGCATCAAGAGGCAGGCAGGATCCTCCACCAATGTGGCATCCAAGAAGGTACGATCCAGTGCTCCTCCACCGGTAGCTGAGAAAACCACGCCTGGTAACAAGGTGGTGGTGGCTCCAAAAGCTGTTGTCGCTCCAACTCCTCACAAGAAGGTGCACTCGCTGTTGAAGAAATCATCACTGACCCTGGAAACCGTCAAGGAGGAAGTGGAGGAGGAGGTGGTGGTGGCCCCCAAAGTAGCCAAGACTGAAAAGTCAGCTGCTGCCAAAGCCCCCAAACTGATGCCGAAGCCCACTCCAAAGAAGCCTAAGAAACTTCTGCTGCGCGGCAAGGGAGCTGGCTCCAAAAAGAAGGTCTGGCAACGTTTCATCATCGATTGCGCTTGCCTGGTGGAGGATTCACTGATGGATCTGTCCGACCTGGAGAAGTACATGAAGAGTCACATTAAGGTGAACCAACGGATCAACAATCTGGGCGAATCGGTGAACTTTGAGCGCCCCAAGCAAACCACGCTGGTCATCAACAGCAGCGTGCATTTCTCGAAGCGCTACTTCAAGTATCTGACCAAGCGATATCTCAAGAAGAACAGCCTCCGTGACTGGGTGCGGGTGGTGTCCACCTCTAAGGATACCTTTACCATGCGCTACTTCAAGATCCAGGACGACGAGAATGCTGACGATGATGTGATTAATATGAAGGACTAAAGCCCAGGTTTTCCAATAAAACAAGGTTTTCAAATTCATTCTTGACCAATTTTTTTTTAAATCCCTCTTTGAAAACCATCATTTTTTTCTCAAATTTTAAAGCAGGTAGTGGCTCCCTGTCAAACGATTGACATTTCAAAGAGGGCCTCGAGTGGATCTCGTCTTGTTTTGATTGGGGAGGAGTCCAAGGGCCGAGGCTCGTCTTGTTTTCTTTACCTTTTTACGCTTTTGTAAATACCTTAAATTGCCCCATTCGGATGGGGATTGTTTTCGATGCCAGTCCCAAAGCTTAATTGCTTCGCTGTGGGTCTGTTCTCTGCGAAAAAAATAAACTGGGGATCAATGGGGCGTCCTCCTCTGTCAGCATATTGGCCGTAGGTGGTCCATAACAAGCTAATGAAATGCGAATCCAACGAAAATGCGACCAGCTGAGTGAGTCAGGCAGCTGTCAAAATCGAAATCAACCTGAGAAGCACTCGTCTCGGTGGCCAAAACGAGCACAAAGACTCTGTGTCTGGGCCTGGCCAAGAACGTGGAGAGTACAAAGCGAAAATAAACATAAACGTCATGCAAATCGTATGGTAATTGCTGTCATCGCCGGGCTCTTGTCAAAAACGGGTTGAAGTGTTTTGTAAATGCCAAAAAAATTACATTCCAGACAGGCAGAGACCCGAGTACAATGATAATAATAATAATGTAAGCGCACGCGATTATTATCTCAGTCGAAAAAATATGTTTGCATAAAAAAACAGTAGTAAAGAGCATTGCTGATTAAAATGGTATTAACTACACTAAAATCTGGCCACTAATAATGATTAAAACTGATTGATACTGATGGTCTTTTACAAGCTTGTGCCTATAAATAATTTAGCTTTATTAATAAGCGCTTTTTATGATGAGCTAATTTCCTTTGTACACGTTTTTCATCAATTAATTATAGTCATTATTTTATTTTAATGATAGATTCTTTGTATACCCTTGAAGGGTATTTTAATTTCAGTCAGAAGCTTGTAACATAGTGAATGAGTCATTTCCGGCCCTATAAATCATATATATTCTTGATCACCATCAACTGGCGATTAGATCTAGCCATGTTTGGTAAAAAAATAAATTTTTTTCCAAAATTTTTAAGGGTGTAACACCGTTAAAATTTTCAAAAATCGACAAAATGTTAACATTTTAAATTGAGTATGCAGATTTATCAACCTATTAAAAACTAGCATTGGACTGCTTTCCGAATTAAAATTAATGATTTTTTGGCTTAGTTATGAGTTTTTGAAGAATTTATTTGTTGAAAAATTGTCATAAAAATATCGATAAATGTCAATTCAAAGTATGGGAATATTTTAAGCTGAGTTATGACCGATTTTCGATTTGATCCTATACCTGAATTCCAAACTGCAAGGGTATATAAACTTCGGTTTCCCGAAACAAATTTTCTTTTTTGTTTTTATTTATAATACTTTAATTTATTTTTAGCTAATTGAAATGGATTTTTTGTTAATGTAAAGCTCAATTCATATAGAAAAACTAACACACATTTAATGTTAAAGTATCAATATAAAAACTAAATTTTTAATAATATCCTTTATTTATTTCCATCACTTAGGCTTTAAGCTAAGGCAACAATATACATTTATTTTCAATATATCGTAGTGCTTAAATATCGATTTATATATTGATACAGTTTGAATATTTACTGTCATCTCTAAATCATTATTATATCAAGAGCAGACGCCATTTAAATTAATTAATTAATATTAACAGACGACTTCCCCTATTTTAAGTACCATCAAAGTTGGCTGTAACTTGTGGCTCTCAACTGTCACTTCTTGACCATTAATTTGTGGCGAATAGACGTCTTGATTGTCCTGCATAATCCATTGCGACTTGGAGGTTAGTTAATCCCTGTCCCTGGCTAAGCTAATTAACACATCGATTACAACGTTGTCGCTGCTCGGAATTGATGGGCCTCGTTAAAATATCCACCATATCTGTGATTGCACAAGGCCTTCTGGTCTTGACTTGGTCAACAAACGAGTTGGTTCTATTTTTAGGCCCAATTTCCAGCAGCCACGCAGGTGCAGAAGCTGTTGGTGTATATTTATGGTCCATCGAGGAAGCTCATCATCATTAACAGCGGAGAATCATCATCATCTTGGCCATCATTGGATGCGGATCGTGGTGAAGTGTAGGTGACATATAGCCTCGGTCTGCCAATATCGCTTACCTTTCGGACAATGGGGGATTGACAACGATATCCACGCTTTTTGCTGGGCCACACAGGTTTTTTTTTTGTATTCTCGCTCCGCAGGCGTTGACACTTTTAGCCTTAATCCACTTGGCTTAATAGTCATCATCTTCCACTCGTTTCAGGGTCGTCATTCGGGTTTTTGTCGCTCATTTCAGGTTGTGAAGATATCGCTTACACTATTTGGGTTTTAGACTCTTTGGAATATTCGTACTTCTTTCAACATTTCAGATCATTTCCCTTGATTTTTGCTGCTTCATCGCCTCTTGAAGATCTCATTAAGCCTAAAAATGTTCCAGTTTAAAAAGTAAGTTTTCGATACTGTTTCAAATATGTACAAGTTTTACCTATTTACTGTCTTTTTTCCCACAGTTCTCGCATGGATATCGACAGGGTTAGCCTAATCTGTAGCGAAGGCATCTTGCTGGCCACCAATTCTAAGAATCATATTATTTGCGGGCTAGATGAGCGAATTTAGTAAGGATAAGTGTACCGAAATTATAAAGAAAGCTTTATATTTAACCTATGTAACCCTTTACAGCTGCTGTGTTCCTCATACCAATTATTATCGTGACTTAATCCAGGAGGTGGGCATCCTGGCGGATTACCAAACCCGAGATCGTGGCCAGAAGATGACCGTAACTCAAATGAAAGATGTTTTGCATCGCAAATATGATGCGTCCGAGTCTATGGATATATTGTTAGCTGGACAGGATAGCAAGGGATTGCATATCTATAATATGGGTCTGAATAGTGAATCCACAAACCTCGTGTATGCTGTCAAGGGAAATCAGGGCATGGAAGATGCCTATCAATACTTGACGGAACACTGGCAGGAGTCCATGAATATCCAGAATGCCGAGCAAATGGCCCGAAAGGTACTTCAAGTGGGGGAGTCTGATTTTGTGGACATGTGCTTTATCTATAAGACGAGGACCATGGAGATTGATGAAAGCAACCAGGAGGAATCTTTGGAGGCACTCTCTCCATAAATAGATTCGTCGAATCGTGAGAGGATGCCCTCTTAAATACAATCTTGATGATGATTCCCCCAGTAATTAGTCGCATTTCTCAGCAAGTTTTGCAGATTGGCAAAGGGATATATATTAACTTCTGCTCCTCCCACTAAAAAAAGGAGAAAAAATCCCTTGATTTATACTACGCGCTCGCCCTGGATAATTAATAATGATTAAAGGCTGGCGCCCATCATCGGGCCAGTCCTTATACGCATTATATATAGCTCTATATAAAATGTAGGAGGAGTGGAGCAGGTCTAGAAACCACTCACTCGTTAGCCCCCGGGGCTAATCCCGACATCCAGCTGTGCGGATTAACTTGAATTTATATGTTGTGGCGGCTGCATTTGAATAATTTCATATTTAGAGCTGGGGGGAATAGGGATCTCTATCTTGGACTCTCCAGCTCTCGCTCTGTGCGTGACCAGGCTTCATTTTCGCCCCCAGCTGCTCCTCGACTTCTGCTCCAGTTTGTTGTGTGTGTGGTCTTCGCCTCTCTGCTCCTCCATTGACAACTCCTGGGTGGCATTATGCTGTCTGACTTGGATTTTTACCTGGACAGTTGCTAATTGATTTCTACGTAGATGGGACTTCTTGTAAATGGTTTAGTTAAGTGGACCTCAAAAAGGAGATAATTCATAAGGATTCAATTTGAGTTAAAAAGTAACAGATATAGGGAATATATCATATGATTTAGGTTCTTGATTTATTTTAGTATTTAACAATATTCAATACATTTATTTTAAGCGTTGAAAGCTTAATACAATTTTAAAAAGCGACTGTAATTCGTCAACAAATTATGATTAAGCATAAACACATACACAAGGAAAATTTCGAATCAATCAATAGTTCATCTCGAACTTAAAATGATTTGTAAATTGTTATTTCTTTGAACCATTCTTAATGGCACACATTATCTTATAAATTTTGTTCCTCGTCCAGTTGCTTCGTTGATCATGAAGTACTTGGCTCAATATCTCTATATAGCCACACTTGGAACGATAAAAATCAATTGTTATCTGGGACTTGCAGAAACGTTCTTTCATACATTTGAGTTCTTCGGAGAGTTTTTGTATCTCTTCGTTCAAATTCTGGGTCTTCTTTTGACATTCCATGGAGCAGGATCCATTTTCTGGTTGATTTGATATTTCGATTTGGTTCTTGGAAACGGAACTCTCCGTAAGTCTCGGGCTTACATTCATTTCGGGGTTATTTAATATTTTAGCTGATAATGGCGTCCTGTCTGGTTCCACAGTCCTTGTTTTTAGCTTTACCGCCGATCTAGATCTATAGTATAAGCTATTCTTTATCTGCCAGACGTCAGGGCCAAAGCCCATTGGCTGACACTTACGAACCACCTTGGCATTGTAATCCTTGCTAACACTTCCGCAATTAGCATCATAGAATTTTTTGAACCACTGCAGGAACTGTAAATTGTCCTGAAAACGGCCTTGGATAAGTTTTTCAACAGGAATCACCTGTTTTATTCCTATCTTATCGAAGCTAGCCTGCAAAATCTTGAAATTTTGAAAGAATTCATGCTCCACATTCGTCATGAACTTGACGCGATGCAGGGCCACCTGATGTGGGAATAGCATGTCCGTTAACTGACAGTAAGCAGCACCTGGAATAGGAATATATAAGTTATTCTTTAAGGCATCTTCTGGATCCACTTACCCGTGCGGAGCTCTTCGATAAAGTAGAATTGTGACCCCAGTCGGTTGTTAATCCAAACCAACATTCCATCGCGTGAGAGATGGTCTGTCGAATTATTTGTGTTGAAAACTTCTACTACTTTCCTATTCATGGTGATGTTTTGCTAAAAAACATAAATTTTTATAAACTTGAAAATAGTTTACAAATATGAGAAACTATTATATATTATAGATATAGGTGTGACTGGTAGAATGGAACCTATACAATATGATTGTTACTGTGTGACTTACTATATGACAGCAAAAGCTAAACTGGAACCTAGGTTACTTTAATGGGAATGTTTTAAACTAAATGTAAATGTTGAAACAAAAATGGTCGGTATAGAAACCAAAATGTATAAGAATATTTATTATTTGTATCATTTATCTAAATAATTGATATGCATTCCTGTTATTCACATTTTTCATTTGGCATTCTTGTATTATTTACTTAAAGAAAAACAATAAATAATTATGAAACATTTTAATACATTAATAAATATTTAATTTCTATAAAATGCAATACAATAAATTAAATGCTTGTCATAAACATGCCACTTTTATAAATTAAATGGCAAATTATCTCATTGAAATGATTTCATGTTAAATCCTAAAATAACCTTTATTAACTTTGATTTGCGAGAGTATTTTTTTGTAAATTCATTAACTGAAAACCGCTCAAAATTAACCGCTTAAAATGATTTAACTCAGTTTCATTTAACTCGTTTTCTGTTTTTTATTTTTCATTATTTAAGTTGCACTTATCTTCACTGAAAGTCATCTTTTGCTCAGTTCAAAGTCACAAATAAATACCAATATATTCGGCGATAAGCAAATATTTCCGAGAAGTCACCCATAAATACCAATATATTCGGCGATAAGCAAATATTTCGGCATCTCTTATATATATATACATATATATTCGATTCCAAATATGGCAGTGAAATCTCTGCCAAAGAAAATAAAAATGTCAATGGCAGGGCGATAAGGTGAGGCGAAAAAAGACTTGGTGAAAAATAAGAAATCGAACATCAAAAATTCCCAATAAATTAAATGCGGCAAGTTCCGAGAAGGAGCCCTACCTGCCACAGGTTGTAGGCTATGGGGGGTTACCTGGGCTGCTACCTCAGTGACATCTTACTCTCCACCAAAGAAAACAAAAAAAAAATGTATAAAAAAGAGACTTGCACAAATATGCAGACTGTGTCACCTTTCGGCGGCTCGAGTTGAAAATATATTTATGTGGCATGCAAGTTGCAAGGTGTGACAACATGAAAATTTATCTGCACCATCTCTGCAGCGCCTTCATCTCCTCCATCCCGCCTGCTGACCCCCATCGCTCCAGCTCCTCCTCCTTCTTGGTGGAATATATATGAGCGAGTGGATTTATATGCACACCGAGTGCCGGGGATTGCCGTCTTAATGCGACATTAACTCGCCCGAAATCTGTGTATTTGGTGGCTCCAGGGCAAATATGAGGTGCATTGTGTATACAAATGGGTTATCTATGGCTTAAGTCACCTGTTGCGAGGGCTAAATAAATAGCCAGCAGGTGTTAAACCTGTAAAAAAGGGGATATTTATTAGTAGGAAAAGTAATTAAAATTAAAATTAATCAAATCACTGTTGAAGTTTATATTATCCAACAGTACATAAATATTAATTTACAATGCTTTTAAGCTACAAAAACTCCTTTAACAAAGCTTAATTAAAGTAAATAATACAAATAGTCCTATGAAAATATTTTTTCTTTATAATAAAAAGTTGTATACTTTTTTTATACACCTTTCTCAGTTTGTAAATTCAGTTTGCTTTATTTATTATGGTGAAACTACAATCATTAAATAGTTTTCATCAAAGATATTTAACTTATTCTCTCTTTTTTCACCATAAAAACTTTGCCACTTACATTTTTTGCTTATTTTTTTTTTTTTTTGCCTGGACACTTTCTTGTCGACTGTCTCTCTGCATAATTATTTATTTTTTAATTGCTGCCGTGTTGTTGCATTGGCAATTTTAATGAAATTGGACATGCAACACAAAGTAATTTAATTATACCCTGTTAGGGTATTGTAATTTTAGTCAGAAGCATGAAACGCAGTGATAGATTTATGTTCGATCCTATAAGGGATTTATATTCTTGATCAGCCTTAAGCTTTGTACGTAGTCTTCTGACAATTTGCATTAGCATATTAGTCGGAACGGACCGAATCGGACGGCTATATCATATAGCTGCTATAGAAATTTTTAGAAAAAATAATTATAACTCTGGCAGTTTTTAATATATTTTCATCTACTTTAAGACATGACTATTTAATATTTTTTTAGAATACATATTAAAATTTCTGGTAAATCGGACGACTATATCATATAGCTGCTATAGGAAATTTCCGGAAATTAAAAGAAAAATATTTATAACTTCTCTGTTTTTCAATATTTTTTCATTAAATCAAAGACGTAGCCATTTTTTATTATTTAATAATTTCGGTTTAAATTTAATGAAAATCGTACAACTATATCATATAGCTGCCATAGAAACTATCGAATATATTTTAGAAAAAAATGTAATTACTTTGCCAGCTTTCAACATATTTCCATCTAATTCAAGACGTGATCATTTTGTATTTTTCCAGAATTTTGTTTAAAATTTCCAGCAAATCGGACAACTATATCATATAGCTGCCATAGGAATTAAAAATGTAAATAAGCAAAATAGATCATTGCTCCAGGCGAGCCCCCGAAAATTGAGAGGAGAGAGCTTAGAGCTTAGAGCTTAGAGAGAGAGAGAGAGAGAGAGATAGAGATGCCTCTCTGGACAGCGCAGCTTCTCCGCAAATTCTCAATTCCCTTTCTATTTTTCTTTCGCAATTCACATGGTTCGGTTGGAAAACCACGCAGCTCCAAGGAAAACGGTGAGGAAAGCCGGAAAACGGCCGGAAAAATCGACGTTGGTGTTGCTAGTCACTAATTAAGTGACCCCGCCGTGAAAAACCAGCCCTCCAGAGTGTTTTCAACCCGTTCAAAGTGCTAAAATCCCAAGTGAAAAAAATGACGATCTTCGCACGTACGCCACTTAGGTGTACACAGTTACGGTTTTTTTTTTCGTTGGCCTACAGAGAGATGAAAAAATGTGCAAGTGAAAGAGAACATTACAAAAGTGCAAGTGTTTTTAAGCAAGCGCCGCTAGTTTCCAACTCGGTTTTACCTGTACTTTAGTTTTTTCTTCTGATTTAATATGCATATTTTCTCTGGCCATAAAATTCTCGTTGTAAAACTTGGTGATTTTCAGCGCTTCGCGGTTTCGTGTGTGGATGTGTGTTCGCTGTCGCCGTTGGGATCTTCAGCGACAAGCAAGCAATGAGTGAGTGAAACACAACTATTTTCTTTTCCCCCTTATCCACTTGTTTCTATGCCTTCGCGGGCGCATTTCTGTTGTCCCTTAATATTTGTTTCGTATAGCTGACGTAGGAAGTGCCGTTGCTGACCGTGTTCTCGCACTGAGAAGTGGAACGTAAGAGCAAGAGAGTCCACATCAAAAATACGATCCACTCTTGTGGGTGTCAAGTTTCACATTTGGAATGTGGAACAAGCTGCCTTTGTTTACCTTTTTTTCACTTGCCAATATGGAAATGTTGGAATTCAAGAAAGGAATTAAATGCAAGCGAAACTAAATTAAATTAAACTAATATAACTATTTACTTCAAGCCTTATTTTACTATTTAATAAAATAGTAATTGATTGATTGATATTTGTTATAACAAGTATTAGTCAAAAGCTTAAAAGGATGTGAAGGAGTCATTTCCTACCCTATAAATCATATATATTCATGATCAGCATCAAAAACCGAGTCGATCTAGCCTAGTCCGGCATTTTTTTTTTTTAATTTATTATTAAATTTTATAATCATTAAAATTGTGAAAAAAAAAATTGGAAAAAATGTATATTTTTTACATTTTAAATTAAGTATGCAGATTTATTAACCTCCAAAAATCTAAAATAGGAAAGCTTTCCAAATTGAAATTAATGTTTTTTTGACTTAGTTATGCGTTTTTTAAATTTTGATTTGTCGACGAAATGCAATAATTATTGATTTAAAGAATGCGAATATTTTAAGCTTTATTATGAAGGGTTTCCAATTTAATTCCAAGGGTATATCAGCTTCGGCGTGGCGCAGTTAACTTCGTTTCTTGCTTTTAATTAATTTATAAATGCAGCAACATCAAAAATGGCAGCTGAGAGAGGCTAGGAGGATAATATTCATATATATATGTATATATATAGCCAATGGCCACTGAACCGTGAATTAAGCCCGAGTCGTATATATTTTTTATAGATTTTAATTTTTTGTGTGTGTGCGGCGCTTAATTTCAGTTTTATTTCTCGCCTCGCCTTTTGCGGCATGCAACAAGCGGCACGGCGGCGCGGCACGAAGTGTCGCTGACAGCATGTCATCAGCACTTTGGGAGGCGGCGGGGAAAATCGCCGCCAATTGGCCACGCCCCCTATATATCGGTGGGCGTGTGTGCAATGGCAGCAATTTCATTAAAATTTACTGCACACTGCAGAGGCGCAGAGAGAAAAAAATAACAACAAAAATAAAGAAAAAATTGTTGCGGTCAATTAACGTCAGCGCAACGCGCGTTTCACTGCCGCATAAACCCTTGACCCCCACTTTTCTGCATCCAACGATTTTTCTCCCAATTTCCCTATCCAATTTTCTACCTCCCCCCACCCCAATTGTGGGGAAAATTTTCACTGCTCATTAACACGGAGCCAGCAGCAGCCAACTCCCTGCAATTTTATTCAAATTTTTGCATCTCTATACGATGGCAACTTTATTGTTTATTGTTGCTGCCTGGCTGGGCGTGAATAAATAAATAAGTTCCATTGACATATGCTCAAATAAATAATAGAGCGCATTTAAATTATTGCCCCGCAGCTTGGCAAGTCACTGCAGGAAGGAAGGATGGAAGGATGGAGGACACTATCTGGTGCTGTGAATTATGATCCTGGCGGGGAGACCGCAAGACCCGCAGAGACCCATAACAATAAACGGCCCAGACCTTCGGAGCCTTCGATTGACGATCATTTTTAATTTCGCACTCAACAAAGGCCCCAGAAAAATCGGTCAATGAATCCTCCAGCAGACTCCAAAAAAAAAAAAAACGGTGAGTGAATAATTTGCATAAAGTTACATCAAAAGAAGTCTAGGTAGGCAGAAGCCGAAGATTTAAATACCTCAAAGAAGCGGGAATTAATAGGACTCAAAAATATATATATCTTTAGAATCTTTCTGCATTAAATTATTGATTATTTACAAAAATAACTAATAAATAACATTTATAATTAGGTTTCACAATAATAGATAAAGGTATTCAAAAGAAAACAATTACTTAAACCTTTTAAAACTATTTTTAGCTATATAAATATAATATTATTATAATAAAATATAAAAGGTATTCATTTTCATATGAAACTTTAAGTTAAGAACTGAAATTTATTAAGGAAAACTACTAAATTATATCAGTAAGGAACTCCAAAAATAATCAAAACCCTTGATAATGTGGCCACTATTGATGCTAAAACTTAACAAAAAATGCCAGATCTTGGCTATAACCTACTGACCCTTAGTATTTACCGATCTCCCTATAATATATAGAGATATATTCCCTTTATTCCCTGAATACATTTTGTTACAATCAAAGCGAGAACCCAACCAAATGCAATTCTCATAGAGAATCTCAGCGACGGCAGCCACTTAATTGATAAACTTTCGGTTTCTTGCTAAACTAATTTGTTTTTACGCTCAGTCTCGATTGAATTCTCTCAATCATGGGGTAGCAGGGGAAACTCGGAACAAGTGAAAAGAATTTAATTAAGCTGCCGGAGAAGCCAAACAAAATGTTTTTCTCCGCCAGACGGAAATGGGATGGGGCACAGAGATGATGCTGATGCGTGTGTCGGAGCTTCGGGCAAGTTGACCCCAAAAGGTTCTTCGTTGTGTTCTCCTGTCCAAAAAAAAATAAATAATAAAATAAAATAAAAGACCTAACTTATTAAGGCCCTCTTTGGCAAGTGGGCGTGGCACAATAACACACGGAGAGAGACTCTGAAAGGAAATTGCAGATGACGACTGACTCGCCGCGCGCTGGTCAACCAGAACCGCAAATTAGTTTCGCTTTGGAAGGGATCCCTCTCTGACCGGCTCCACCTCTGGGACTGGCCCTGGCCCTGGCTACCAGCCAATGTGTCAAGCGGAGAGGTCCAAACGAGAGCCTGAATAAATATGAAAATATTGTTCAAGTAACCAGCAAACCAGAGCCCAAGGCGTCTTTCCTGGAAACCGAAAGAGCAACCGGAATAACAATAACAACAATCACCCCCATGACAGAGGGTATATCTGAGAAAAAAGAGGACTTTTACATTGAGAAAAATTGAAGTAGAAAGCCTTTGGATGCTGGTTAGTAAATGTAGATTACGAATTATACTTTTTCTTAAAAGTTTAAAGTTGCTTTTATGCTTCCTGTTTTAAAAAATATAAGCTGCAAAATAAGCAACACAAAAACGTTATTTTTTGAAGAGCTTATATTAATTTGTATACCTATTCCTTTATCGCTCGCTGTCTTTTATGCTTTGCCTGCAATGTACCATGACCTAGAGGGAATATTGTATGCTTAAACCGAAACCACTCTGCAAATAATATTTCAAATGAGTTTCCAAGGGTTGAATTATAGAATTTACCTTTTTTTAAAGTTCACCTCTTAATCTTTAATCAAATTTAATTGATTTTCTCTCAGTGCTTTGGGTTGCAAGCATCTCCTTATCTTTATTTTTGTCTCACTCCACAAAAATTGACGCGAGCCGCGCTCCAAAATCGCGCCAAACGTTGTCATCGTTGTCGGGTTGTTGTCGGTGTTGCATCTGCATCTCGGCATCTCCACATCTCTCCATCTGAGCATCTGAGCATCTGAGGATGCATCTCGCACCCTGCCCTGCCTCCATATGTGCGCACTTAGCGATGCCCGCGATGAGATAAGCTTGCAGTGCTGCTTTTTTTTATATTTTTTGTTCATAAATTATAATTTTATGATCACGAACATATTCGTGGAATACTCGTTGGCGTTGTTTGGGCCCCATTGTCGCCAGCTCAGCTCCTCGGTGGTTGTTTTTCTCTGGTCTCTGCTGCTGCTGCTGGCTCCCAGGGGCGTTAAATATTAAAGTGTCTGGAGACGAGACGAGAGACCTCGGGATTGGCACTGGAAATTGGCTCTGCTCTTTGGGTTCCTTGGTCCATGGAGAGTGTCATCGTTTGTGTTTACACTAATTGAAGAACTCTTCGGTTGGGGCTCTTCAATGTCACGGCTGCTTCCAGTTTTCTCTCCTTCCTTGGCTGGGATCGTTAACTTACTTTATTGCCCTCCATGGTTCGGTCCGGGTTCTAGCCTGAAATTAGTTTGTTTTAGCTTAGCCGACATTTGCGAAAAAAAGGGGTGGTGATGGTCGGGTGTTGGCGGCTGTAATGATAAGTTGCCTCTCTACGATTTTATTGAAAGTCGTAAATCAATTAACTGGCTCTTTCTGGCACTCTTCTTTAACGCGGGACAGCTGAAAAACTTGTAGATATTGGCTTATTTATGTGCTTTAATTAGCATGGGGAGAGAGTAATAATAATAAAAGCAAATTCTAAGATTTCACAATTATGCTTTACGGAAATGAAAAAAGCTAAGTGCTGATGGGTTGCCAGATTGTTTAAGTATTTCTAACCAAAATTCACCCTTTCACACTTGTCACATTTTTTGGGGGAACGAGTGGAACTTTTTGCAAGATGTGAAAAGCTACTAATTTAAGTGTAAACATGTGTATTGGGTGGTAAATTAGTATTAAGTGTAATGAAGATTTCGAACATAATCATATATAAATCCTTTCTATTTTAAAAATGCTTCAATACCTATTTTATAAATAAAATTCTTGCAATGAAATTGAACCCAGATTTATCCTGTGCTTAAAATACCAGGCTTAAATTTTAGCATATATTTTGTATACACTCTCCTATCGGGTTGCTTTATTTTTAAAATCCACCAAAATACAAGCAATTTCGCGGCTCCCTTTGTTGACCATTAAAATTAAACTTTTAAATCACTTTTCGCACATCGCTCGGATGTGAAAATATTTACATACATGACGAACGACATCGGCCAAACACAACACAGCAAACTTGCTGTTTGTTTTTAATTGGTTTCCATTTCGGTGTGCAGACCGTTTATTTGCTATTTGCATTTCTCTTACCCCCATTTTTTATTTATTTTTTGTTCTACTTAATTTAAACAAACATTTAGTTAGCTTCAACTAAAAACCAAATTTGAAATGGGATCAGTGGGACTATCGATTAGGCCTCTCACAGTCTCATGTTTCTGTTCAGTATATATTTTTGTTATCGATTTTTAAAAAAGCAGTCCGGCACCCTTCCTTCTGCTTCTTCCTCAGAATTCTCATTAAGGCGAGTTTAATTTGAATGTGGCGGCGCATAATGAACTTTATGCAGGCAACAAAGTGAAATTTAATAGTGCAACCGTATTCCCAGCATAATTAGTTCCTTCCGCGCAATTTTCATATTCAACCCGAAGAGCCAGAGCTTGTTGCTGGGAGGCTAAATGAATTTATTGTTGCCCAAGGAGCACTATGCTCGGGTTTCCCCATTTTAAAGTTTCTGGTGAGTGTTTAGCGCAACATTTTTTTCAGCCATTGATTCCGGGGAAAAGCCCTGAGGAAATCCCCACTTTTCGAGCAAAAACTTCAAGTGCAAAAAACATCAGCAAAGTGACACTCTCGCCGAGATTATCGCCGCCAAGTTTGGAGTCTTAAGACGCAAGTTGGAGTTCCTTCTTCTTTTTTGCTTCTCAACCAGAAAATTCCCTAGAAATTCAAGTTGAAAGTAAATTAGCGCAGAGAACTTGCGTCAAAATTAGAATTAAAAGCTAAAAACGAAAACTTTTCGCAAAAGGAAACACCAAATTAGCTGCAGAAAATGTAATTACTTTGAAGTTTCCGGGAGTCTCTTTGTTTTCGAGTGCATTTCTTTTGCCAGATTCTAGGAAATCAAATTACTTGGAAGCACAAAAAATTGGGAAGAGTCGTTGGGAATGGGATCACCAAATTGGCGAGTTATTTGTTTGTTTCTTTTGAGTTAAAATTAAATTAAATTAATATTACTAAAGGGAAATATAATTTTGACTTTGTTAAACTACGGTTTTTATGAAGACTTGTCTTTGTAATATTACATTTAATGATTTGGAAGGAAGTCATTATTTCTTTGTATTGCATTTAGTGTTTATTATCATTATTTCAGTTCTTAGAAAGCAATATATTTTATTCGTCACATTTAAATTAACATTTATTTATTTTATGATAAACTTGTTTCTGCAATATTTTCTTTTTCTTATTTTCCCCTGTGTATTGTACCATTCAAAAACCTCAACACCCTTTGATATTCGTGAATAATTATTATTCACACTTCATAGCAGGCACTTTACTTCTCAAGCAGTGTTCGCGGGTACCTCTTGAGGTTCTTAAATAAACACAACAATTATTATTATTATACCCTTGCAGGGTATTATAATTTCAGTCAGAAGTTTGCAACGCAGTGAAGGAGGCACCTCCGACTATATAAAGTATATATATTCTTGATCAGGATCAACAGCCGAGTCGATCTAGCCATGTCCGTCTGTCCGTCTGTCCGTCCGTCCGTCTGTCCGTTTCTACGCAAACTAGTCTCTCAGTTTTGAAGCTATCTGAATGAAACTTTGTAGTTAGCCTTGTATATACTCTCACTCGTATATATGTATGTCGGAACGGGCCGGATCGGACGACTATATCATATAGCTGCCATAGGAATGATCGGAAAATTTTTACAAAAAAAATTTTAACTTTTTCAGTTTTCAATAGAATTGGATCAAATTTGAGATATAGCCATTTTACTATACTCTTCAATTTTGTACAAAATTTTATAAAAATCGGACTACTATATCATATAGCTCCCATAGGAACGATCGAGAAATTAATACAATTAAATTTTTAACTTTTTTAGTTTTCAGCTGATTTTCATCAAATTTGAGGTATAGCCATTTTATATAAGTCTTAAATTTTGTG